CGGAGAAGGCCACGTGTGACTAACAACTCATCCAAGTGTGCAGGAATTCAGCTCGTGTGGACGTGAGAGGCCTTGGGATCTGTTGGCCACATCATTGGTACGTTGTTTAAGGTCAACAGATTGGCGTCATTCGTGGGAATTTCAACACCATAACCACGAGCATCCTTGTGGTAAAAGTAATCTGAAACAGAACTTTGGAGAAACGCTTGGTTCTTGAAGAAAGAACCGTCGTAAAGAAGGAACATCTGAAACACCTACTTATAGCTCAAAATCAAATACTCACTATGAGTTCCAGCCACCACGGATCGCAGAGTAGAAATAGGTAGCAAGAGGCTTTTGAAGAAGAGGTCCTTAGCACAAATGTGAACATGCGTCGTCCCCATCACCAACACAAGCGATGCGGTACCACAGCACACTTAGCTAGGGAAGTAGGGGAAATGACCTCGAATATGAGAAACATGGCCCAACAGAACGCTGTCATGCAGCAATTACTCATGCAAATGCACCAACATGCAGGATATTAGGCGCCTTAGCATGGAATGTTTTCCCAAGAAGATAGGGAGAATGACACGACAGCATATCCTCAAATGCATGGTAGTGATGTCAGCCCAGCGGAGAGGGAGGTGGAAGTAGACACCTCCACCAACTACGTTACAAGCCGACCCGGCAATAACATGCTGCATGAGTGAAACTTTCCACCAGAATATACTCAAGAGCGTGAACCTCAAAGGTCCAACAATATTTTTGATCGAATTGGACCCTCAAGGCCTAGAAATAGGTCCCATCAGCCACCCCCATTCAAAGAGGGCAAGAACAATATCAAGAATATGAACCTCAGGGGATTCCACCTCCACCTAGAAATAGTTGAGAGAGAAGAGACGAGGCAAACTTGCGAAATCAAGCAGAAACGTCACAACCCCCTCGTCATCAAGCGGAGGAAAATGATTCTAATGGTCCATGCAAATCATTTGAGTTGGACGATGATGAGCTTGCCCTTCTACCAAGAGTCAAGAAGTACCCTAGTTCCAAATCACTTCGTACCCCCAAAAATACCCAAATACGAAGGAAAATGTGATTCGATAAAACACCTCAACAACTACAAGATTCACATGTCTTTACAAGGGGACTCGTAGGCGCTAAAGTACAGAGCTTTTCGTCTCACACTAACTGGGGTTGCAGAAATTTGGTACAGCCGTATCCCAATTGGCAGCATCAGAAGTTGGCCAAACCTTAAAAAGACAATTTTAAACCAGTATCTATCTAACAAAGAAGGGGAAGCCCCTATCCAGAGGTTGCAAAACATGAGGCAACAGACAGGTGAATCCTTGAAAAACTACTGGCTCGCTTTACAAACAAGATGACTTATTGTGAACATGTTATGGACAGAGATGCCCTTTCTGCTCTAAGAGATGGCCTCAACATGAACACCCTATTCTGGAGGGACGTGCGAAACAAAAATCCCACTTCTTATGATACCCTGGTGGAAATGATGAGAAGTGAAATTGTTAATGAGGAGCTGATTGACCACCGCAATAGAACATCACATGGAGGCACGAAGACATGTGGGCATTGATCCCAAGGTCAATTGCCACCAACTTAACGTGGACCCAAAGTTCACCCCTTACCGGCAAAAAATGAAAGCCTTGAACCCGGAGAGATACGTAGCTCTGAAAGAGGAGGTGCAAAGACTCATATCTAATGGATTCATTAGGGAGGCAGTGTACCCAAAGTGGATATCCAACCCCGTCTTAGTAAAGAAATCCAATGGCAAATAACGAGTTGCATAGACTTTTCCAACCTCAACTAAGCATATCCAAATGATAGTTTTCCGCTTTCAAGGATTGACAAGCTGGTCGACTACACTGCGGGCCACGAGCTCTTGAGTTTCATGGATGCATACTCAGGATACAACCAGATCCCTATGCACCCAACAGACGAGGAAAACACATCATTCATCACTGATAAAGGCCTCTACTGCTACAAAGTCATGTTGTTTGGCTTGAAAAATACTAGCGCAACCTATCAACGGCTAGTCAACGGGATGTTTTTCGACCTCATAGGCAAAAAAATGGAGGTATACGTCGATGACATGCTTGTAAAGAGCCTCGGTCTGTAGATCACATTAAACACTTGGAAGCTACCTTCAAGATCTTGAGGAAATACCGAATGAAGTTGAATCCATTGAAATGTACTTTTGGTGTCGTTTCTGAAAAGTTCTTGGGTTATATGGTTAACCAGCGAGGCATTGAGGCAAACTCTGAGAAAATTAAGGCCTTGTTGGACATGAAATCCCCTAATATGCCCAAAGAAGTACAATATCTAAC